GTGTCAAGCAGCGATATCGAAGCGCCTCATCTGGGTCACATTTGTCTTCAACGTATCCACCGACGTTTATCTGCTACTGATACCAATTCCTATGTTATGGAAGTCGAGATTGAGAACGTACAAGAAGGTTGCCGCTATGCTTGTACTTGGCGCTGGCATGCTCGTCATTGTGTGTGCGATATTGAAGAGCATCTATCTTATCACGGTAAGACACAGTGGCACAATCGCTATACAATGGTCTTCAAGACTGACCGATCTCTAGGACCCTTTGAAGAGTGCCGAGCTCACCGCCTCTTGGGGTACTCGCGAGACCTTTATCGCCATATTTACGACGAACCTTCCCATGATCTTCCCATTGCTCAGGAACTGGCTCACGCCTTTCCTACCCAGTACGATCGGCTCCAGTAACGCAAAAGGTCAAGAACCCCCAGGTAGTGACTTCGAAACAATTGGGGGTGGATCCGGGCCCGGTGGAAAACGGGCGAGCCGGAGGGCGCCGCACCGGGCGCGCCACACTTTCGGGGGCCTGACGCTTGACAATGAGAGTGAGGAAGACATGATCAAAGGGAATGATGTGGCCATGCATCCTATGCAGACTGACTCTGCCAAACCAGATGTAAAGCATGTTATTGTCGTGTCGAGCGAGGTCAGCGTGATCTCCGAAGATCATAGCGGTGTCCAGCGAAAAGCATCTTTTCAGATCATGTAGTGAGTTATCTTCACGCTCCAGTGCCGACGCAACTATACGCTTCTACAACCTCATCTGACTTGGTCTTTCTATCCATGGCGTTCGTGATGCAACTTGAGTCAAATTTCACCGCATTGACACTACGCGACTGCTCCTGAGGCTCACACAAAGTCTACCCGCAGGGATCTGCAAGTGCGCGGTCTGCGGCTGAGGGTTATATTGCGACAGGATGCAGGACACGAGAGAACCATGTTGACTGTAAGTCCAGGCCAACTTCCGAGCTTGAGCCCCAGAGTGTCCATTGTCGGAGTCTGTCATCTAATGGATACGAGGCACCATCCCCATCGGCCCACAATAATACAGGAACAGAGTCCATGCTGGGCTCTATGATACCAAATAACCCGTCAAAGAAAACTCTCGTGCTGGAAGATGCGCCCCGGTCTTTGCCCAGGGTACTAGTGGCGGCTTGATCGTCGTCCGCTCCGTGGTCGCTTATGTCCCCATTAATATAGGCTTTTGCCATAAGAATGTCTTCCTTGTGAGTGAGCAAGTAGACTGATAGTTGCTCGACAACGTCTGCAATTGTAACAGTACCGCCATCTGCTCTGGTAACAGGTAAGGGCTCTGGTCGCTGATAGCGACGATTTTCCTCAAACCCAGGCTCGTCGAACTCTTCATCGCTGAAACCTGTTTCGAGAGCTGCGAACTCGTTGAGCTCGTCGATGCTGAAGGCTATCTTGGTGAGAGGGATCTCGGAAGCTGGTTCTGATCCGATGGCGTGACCGTCAAAGGGCGATAGGTCAGTCTATGGATCATCGAGAACGAGGATGTTGGAGATGTCCTCGAAGACCGACCAGCGGAGACGCTCAAACGCTTCATTGAGAGGAACGGCTCCTCGGGTGTTGGTCAAGCTTCCATTGGGACGATCGGGCAGAGGCGCGGTAGTCATATTAAGGCCGAAAGCTGTGATGTACAATCTGAAGTAGATTTTGCGAGCATACCTTGACGATACGGGTGTACGGCTTTGACGATGACCCACTCTGGACCCTTGCACCCAATCGGGCTTAGTACCGAGGCTCGCCAGCCCCGGGCCTTGTCAGATCGGCTCATGTCTAACGAACCTTCACACCTGAACGACGAACACGCCAATGCATCTCCTATGGACTAGCACATGTATCTGGTTACCTGGAGACGACATCTACGTGAGCGGAGCGCCGACATAAAGACAGATAGGCGCTACAATCTGACAACCAGGCTGTCGGTTCACAACGCTCGCGCTACAACGCAATGTCACATCCGCGCAGTCATGTTCACATGCCAGAACAAAGCATCGTAGACAGTGAAGGCCAAAACCACTTACAGGCCGCGTCTGGCGCACTTCGAAACGACGTTGTTGGGCCATAACCTGACATATCAACTTCGTGAATCGTCTGTGGTTTGTGATCTCATTTCTGTGCGTCGATTCCCACCAAGACTCCTTCCCTCCTGGCTCCATCGCATATTTCATCACCGGAAACATGGTACTACTGAGTAAGGCTGAACCGGAGCAAATAGCAATGTAAGTCCCACACTCTACATGTAACGCCCCGAAGTGCTGGGCGACTAACAATTGCCAGCGGTGCGATGAACCAATCCAACTCTCCCCTCCTCAAACTCCCCGGAGAGCTCAGGAACCGGATCTACAAATACGTCCTGGACAGTGATGTCACTTGGCACATCACATGCCACAAAGACCATGCTTGGCGGAAAGTCTCACGTTATCACGACGATTGCGAGTGTGTTCTGTGTGGTAATCCGACAATTCGGGCTTTCGGGTCTACTCTACACCAAGTCTCTCGTCAGATACACCAAGAGACATGGCTACTCCCCTACGCCTTGAACACATTCGAGGCGGACTATTACGGAGGCACTTCGATCGATGCTCTGGTGTGGTGGCTACACCAGCTGCCAGAGCCCGCAAGATCTGCGATACGCTCTCTCCGAATGAATGAAGGTCATTGCGGCGAGATCACGAAAGATGTCCTTGAGACGAGGTTTCCGGCATGGTGGACTGTGGGACACCCGCATAGAGAGCGTCGCGTTATGCGAATGCGCGGGCCTGTACAGGGCATGCGCATGGTAGATGGCGTGGATGAGTTGTATGCTCTCCTACCGGGCCTTGAACGCATTCATCTCGTCCTTAATGTAAGCAAATTCGCGGTGAGTTGGAATAAGCCAGATGACGTGGCTGTTCGGCGCGCCAAAACTATGGCCATCGCACAGCTACGTCCCGAAGTCGAGAGGATGTTTGGGCGACCGAAGGTTTGCGTGAGTATGGATGTGCATGTACTTTTCGGACACGGCTGTGGTTGATGGTACATGGCGCTTGTCAGTCATCGCGCGAATCGATGGCTCTTCTTGAGCTAGGTTCAGACACATGTTGATGGAAATGTTATCGGCCTCTAGGTATGCTTGTGGACTACATTGCGAAGATGAGTTATAGATGTATAGAGCAGCGGTATCGTTCGCGACGACACACCTCTGGGACGACTCCGACTATGCTTATCTTTTGAGGTGAAGGGGGCAAGATCAAAGTTAAAGTACCACGTCCTGTAGTTGTCGGTTTGTTCTCACGTCGTAGTCTCACTTAGATCTCACGCTTACAATCATCCTGTCAGAGTCGTCACTTCAGCTACTCTCCCACTCTCTACCCACGGACAATCTACGACCCCGCTGATGATACTCGTTCTTACTAATAGCTCGCCCTAGAAGCAGGCAATGTAAGTGCAACAGTCTATAAAGATGCAATCTAGAATGGATACTCAAGATGCATGGTGCTGCTCGCAACCAGCGCATGTCGCCACAGCTCAAGCTACCCGGTGAACTTTGGAATCGACTCTACGGTCACGTACTCGGGAATCTAACGTGGTATGTCGGCCATTGTCATGAGAAGCGAGATGACGAAGACAACGTCTACGAGATATTTCAACTATGAGAGGAAACCAAGCCATGCCGCTACAAGACGAAGTCGTCCTTAGTCGCTATGTACCTTTAAAGTAGTAGCTCTTGAGCAGCTCAACGACGACATTCAAGTCCTGCGGCCCTCTTACACCACACCCTAACATAATACCCTTGAAGCTCTTGACACCGATTGCCGTCTTCACCTTGTTCCACTCCACGTCCGTTAACTCCTCTTGCGCGGGCCAAAACGATACATTAGGAGCATTCAACTCCTCCACCGTCTTATTTCCCCTCCACTTGTGTACAATCCAGGCAGACTCCTCAAAAGTACCTGCATTGATACCTCGAATCGCTCTTCGCAGACCGATGCCGAATCTAACGAACTTTTCCCGAATAATGTAGGCTCCCGCCTTCTTGAGGTACCAATTGTTGAGCTCGATGTTCATTTTGACGTGCGCGTTCTTCTTCGCGTACATGAGTAGGCCATGGAGGACCTCTCCACGAGGTAGGAGGTCAGGACCCCAATTGGTCTGGTATGTGACCTTGCGGAGCTTGCGGTCGAGACACGAGTCGCTGAGCTCGAGAACGTTGACGAGATACATACCCTCTCTAGGTTTGGCGAGAAGATGTTTCAGAGAGAGCTCGAGAAATTTGGCTTCCGTGCTGAATTGCTTGTGGATCTCGGCTATGCGATTGTACGGCGTGCGCTCGCCAGCAACGTCTTGGATGATGACCTTTCCGTCTTTTGGCGACGAAATGACCAAGCTACCGGGCGTATCGAGAACGTATCTCCACACCTCTTGTCGAAGCTCAGCAGGCAAATCCAAGAGCGCACTCTTCCTATCAGGCTCATAGCGGGAGTAGGAAGCTCCCTTGATAGAGAAGCTCCCGACTTCTTCACCGCGCATCGCGAAACTCATCGAGACGCACTCGCGATCTATACGCCAAAGCGCTCGGATATCCGCATCGCCGCCTATGCGCATTGTCGATGCGTCCAAGGACAGAGTGGAACTGGTCTTAATCGCGCCAGTGGTCGTATCGAATCGAAGGAGCTTCATAGTGGCGCCGTCCAGTGCGATCGCGACGCGCTCGGCCGATGTCTTGTCGTTTTTATACCATCCGGTATAGCGCCTAAGCGTGGTGGGATCGAGTGCCATTGCGATGGCGGTAGGGAGAGTAGAGAAGGTGTATGAACGAGAGATAAAGATCGTAGAGTAGGTAGTAGGAGAGGTGTCGTGCAAGCAAATGTCGAAAAAGCGGACAAAGCGCGGGTGCCTATTGCTACAAACGCTCGCATGCTGCTTCACCTTCACTTTTCACCATATGACGTCGCAGAGGGTATAAGCAAAATCTGAATAGCGCGCTCGAGAAGCTACTTGAGTATGAAGAATTCTCCGTTCTCTACGTTAACTACATTCATCTTCTTCTCTTCTGAATCCGGTGCCTTCTCTTTGCCCAGCGCCCATTCCAACGTCCGGGAAATATCCGTAACGATTACCCACAACAGCCCTCGATACCTCAGTGGCGAGTTGTGTGTAACAATCCAGTACTTTGAGTCCGTCTGCCTTTGCAATTCTAACCCGGTTGCAACGCCGAACGTGGTCTGCCAGTTGAACGTCCAACTCTCTTTGAGCCCGTGAAGGAGGGCAAGCACGTTGAAGTCTGGTGTTGACCTATGTAAAAGAGTCTGTAGAGACTCCTGAGAGGTACGCATCCCGTGTGGGGAGTATAATACCGCTTCGTGTGTGTCTGGTGAAGGCGTGTAAATAATTGCGCTCACGAAGTTGAGCTCATGGTGACCGCGGGCTCGGAAGACCGTGAGCCAGGTAGGTAGCGGGCTGCCTGGATGCAGCGATGTCCAGTCGCCCTCGAAGATACCCGGCTCTAGGTCTCGGGTGGTCATGATGTTGTCAAAGTGGTTCCAGCCGCGAATGATCGCGCTTGCTTCCGTTGTCGCGAACACGGGTATACTTGGCGCGAACGTTAGTAGTGTCGGCTTGTGCAGATGGTCGTCGTAGTGAAAGCGTATGAAGATCGCGTCAATTGGTGATGCATCTTGAGTGATAGGCGTCGTGGTGGGAAAGAACCCAGCGTCTGCAGCTGCAGCTTCGATGTCGCGCGCAATGCCTTCTACATCGCTGCCGTTGTTGACGGCGGGTGGAGACGATAGGCTGAAGCTTGCTAGCCATGTTCCTAATAGATTGACAGGGCCGTTGAACCACGGGTCGTGTACGATGTGATAGAATGCTTTCCCGATGGTAACCCGCTCTTCGCTTGAACGTGGAAAGGAAAGAAGCCATGAATTATCCCCGTTCAAGGATGTGAATATTGGTCGCAACTGTTGCTGGTCATGGGCTGCGTTGGCGATCTGCGTCTTGAGTGCGATAGCACGATCGTTCGCCATGGCAGTGGTGGGTTGTTCCGAAGCCGCGGTGAAGTACGATAGCACCTCATTCAAGGGAAAATTTAGACACCCTGGAGCCTACTTTGACGTTGGGCCAACTGATTTGTATGTTTTCATATTGATGTAGGCTCTAGGGCGTTCGGCTTTTCCCTCATATGAGGTGATAGCACAGAGAGGATGGGACTAACACATACGTCATGTCTGACGTGAGATTCAAGGTCACTAGAGCACGATTCAGCCTTTTACGAATGCTATCCAATAGACTACGAGACGCGGTTCGCCTGACGAGGGGTAGTTACGCCCGTGTTACCATGTCGCCCATCGGCTACGTTACACGATCGAACCAGATAAGGCCGCCCTTCACGTCGCTCTCGAGGCCCACACCGACCGCGACAACCTTTCCGGCCTCAATTCGGATCTCGCCTCGGATAGTACTGTACAACTTTCCCTCCCACTCGCCGTGCATCTCTACCGCGAATGTGTCACCGCTGAGGTGTGCGAACGTGAGCATGTACGGGAAGCATCGATCAGTGCAATCTGCGACGAGCCTGTCGTCCTTCATCTCGATTGCAAGGCTCTTGTACCCAACGTCGTGGTAACTACCGACTATCGCGTCAAGAGGAACGTCAAGCGGCTGCGCATCTTCCACCTTCGTCCACTCCGGCTTCTCCGCCTCTTCGGCATCATCTGTCGCCTGGAAGTTCTTGAAGAACGCGCTCCAATCGATGCGGTCTTCGTCGCGTACACCGAGAACATCATCCAGCAATGTGAACTTCAGGATGTCGTTGACGTACATGGCGGTATCAGAGTTCCCGAAGATGACGAGGCCCCAGTCAAACTTGGGCAGGAAGCAAACCATGGCTTTGAAGCCAGGCACCGAGCCGTAATGCCCGATGACCGTGTGTCCACGATAGCTCGTGCGGGATAGGCCGAGGGTGTAGAGTTCGTCGCTCTTGTAGGGTATGGCCCATTTGTCGTCGCCGAGGAGATCGAAGCTGCGTGGCGTAGCCAGCGCTTTGTGGCTGTCTTCGGAAAGGATAGGGTCGCGTTTGATGAGTGCGCGGATATGTTTCGCGTAATCACCTGCGCTGCTGAAGATGCAGCCTGCGCCGTGGCCTTCTGGTGCTGGCGGGTAGTGAGGCAGTGCGACGTAAGACTCGGATTCACTGTTCCAGTAGTATGGCCTTGCGCGTCGATCGGTGTCGCTGTTGGCGTAGATATCGGGTACGTCGTGGAATGTGTTGGTCATGCCGAGTGGATTCCAGAGCTTTGTCTTGATGAAGTCGGTGTAGGGCATGCCGGTGACAGTTTCGATGAGGTGTACAGCGACACTGAACATGATGTTGCAGTAGATGTGCTCGGTACGAAGTGGTTTGACGAATTCGAGATTGCGCAGATTGCGGGTCAAGGACTTCGCATTGTCGGGGTGTTTGGCGCGCGCGCTGTGGTATGACTCGTCGTGAGTTGCGATTCCGCTCCGGTGACTGAGGATATCTTCAATGGTGACTTGCTCTGTGAGATAAGGGTCGGAAAGGACGAAGTCGTCGGGAAGAATCTTTGACACGGGTGTTGTCCATTGTACGTCTGGGTACTGCTCATCGTCTACGAGAACAGCCACGGCCGCCGCAGTGGTACACTTGGAAGTGCTTGCAAGGTCGAACAGGGTGTCTGTGGTCGCTTCGGTGTCGGGCAGTTCCGAACAACCATACGCCTGAGCGGTGTGAGTGATGCGCGCTGGTTCTTGTGGGGAGGCTTAGTACCTTGGAGTAGATGTCATTGCCTTGTACAACCGCGAGGGACAGACCAGGCACGTGGAACTCGTTGATCTTCTCGAGCACTAGCTTTTCGAATTCAGGAGTCTTGTAAGCCATTGCGTGGATGAGATTCTATACTGTATGGATTCGCAGGTCGCTCACTTTATATGTTAGTACGATACAACGGTCCATAGTCAGTGTGGAAGCTCTTGACAAGCCGAGCCACACGTGCTCTTGGTCAGAATGATTCATCTGCACTATCTTGTATCTATTCCGAATATGGCATTAATCGGTACAGCATAGCGTGCCTTTAGAAGCAGAAGTCGAGATGTGAGTCAAGGCGCGCTGCGGCCGAATCAGGCCGGCGACGAGTTCCGTCATCCGCGTATATCGAGCCAATCAAAGGTTGGACGCCGCGGATTCAGGTAGCGCTTGGAGATCCTCGCCCAATCGGTATGTCGTGGTACATTTTTTTGGGCATGGAAAGAGCTCCCGTTACACTGCTTCCTTGACAGAAGCGGAAGCCACACGGTGTCCCATTCGACTTGAAGGCGGCCTGAATCGTCGCTGCGCCTTGATCATCGTACTTTACGGAAAGTGTCTTGGTCCCGGCAAAGGCGGGATGAGGACATCGGGCGATTGGAAAGGCCAGCAGAGTCGCCGTGAGGGTAGATCCAATTGTACTGTTCGTAGGTCTACGTCTCGCGGCTACAGGAAGTTGCCGCTCGAGAAGCGATCGCCAAAACCCTTTGATTTGCTGAGCATCTCGCGCTTCTGCTTGTGGTTGAGCGAGCCGCTCACAGCCATGTCCTTCTCGTAGTCAAAGGCGCGCTTGCTAGGATCGTCCTCCTTCTCCTTGCCGGTGCCCTTGTCTTGATGTTGCTCGACCAGACTCTTGCCGCGTGTCGCATCGATCTTCTCGCGCATCTTGCGTGCCCTCCTCTCCTCCTCTTTATTGCGCTTAGACTCCGACGTGGCAGGTGCAGAATTGGTGGGCGCGGTTATGCCCAATGCCTCGTCTTGCAACCGCTTGAGCTTTTGCTCCGGTGTCTCGGTCCATGCGCTGCTCATGCCTCCCGTGCCTCCTGCGCCCTTGCCTGTGTTGAACTTGCGTGCGCGCATCTTTGTAGGGTCCATTCTAGCGGCGAGATCGTCCTGCGTCGGGGGCAGTGTCATCCATTCGTCGCGCTGTGCCTTCTTCGGCGCATCGCTGAATTGCGGTTCCGTGTCAAATGCCGATTTCCCCATGGCGTTGTCGAATCCTGAAGACGCTCCGCCAGCTGGTGGCGGCGCGGGCCCAAAGTCATCGTCGCTGCTGTCGGAATCGCTGTCTGGTGGGTTTGGCGGCCGCTCGTCCAGAGGCGCCGGCGGTGGAGCAGGCCCGACTACGCGCGCCGGCTTTGAGGATGGCGGAGGTGCAGGACCAACGTCGCTGTCGACACTGCTGGATCGTGATGTCGCATTTGGTGGTAGTGAAGGCCCAGCTGTGCGCGGAGGTGAGGATGCGGAAGGTGGAGGTGCTGGGCCGATGACTCGTCTGCGCTTGTCGCCGGACTCTGGACTCGACGCGCGATCATCTTCGGCGTCGCGACTGCGCTTGGAGAGGTGCGGCGGCATGGCTGGTCCTATTGAAGGCATCGTGGGTGGTGGGTGTGAATGGAAAGTGTACCTGACTGCGCGTCGAGTGACGTTCTGCGGCGGGAGCTTGGACCTTCACCAACGGCGCGGCACATGCGGCGATCTGCGAACTGCGCCATGAGCTCCGTAGACGCGCCATCCTTGCCAGCCCATGCCAACCCTCGTGGGCGCCTTTCACCCTCTCGACTGACTATACGCCCATCGCATACGCCCTCGGTTGCCGCGCTACCCGCCCGCACGCACGCCTAACTCGCCTTCGCGTAGGCAGCACCGACCCGTACCGCATACCATCACCGAAACCCCCGCGCCGAGTCGATCACACCCACGAACTACAACATCCCGAAGACCAGATACCAGACATCGCGCAACTACCCACAGCTACCAGATGTGCGCCTGAAGCAATGCCCTGCGCAGAACGAGCCTGATGAGCTCAGATTCGGAAGAGAGCCACTCCAGCGCTCACAACGACCATGGAGACGACATAGACGCCAGGGAAGGCGCGGTGGGCACTTTTGATGCACAAGAGGATGATTCTGGGGAAAGCGCGACCGAGCGAAGAAGCTTGGACGAAGACGAGAGCGAAGATGTTCAGTCGGTAGACAACGGCATCGAGGGCTTGACGTTTGCCAGGACACGGCGGAGAAGCCCCCAGGAAGAGACGCATGATTCAGCATCGGTGCTGTCCATACGACCAACTATCGAGGTGGCAGGCAGCCCGGCCTCGACGGATATACCCGACGACACTCCTTCGGTTCAGGTATGCAGCATGGCAGATCAGCATGGGAATCCTCTGACCAAGACAGGGCTCCGGTATATCCTCACCCACGAGCAGCGTGCCCGTGTCGCACAACTCGCTTCGCCCTCACCGACCGACATCGCTGCAGCCATTCGAACGCCGCTTCTCGTCCCGCCTATCTCCATCGCCTGGACCAACGCCGCGCGGCCAGTCACCTGCCTTCCTATCGCCGCACTCGCGACAATCCTCCGTATCGAGCAACCTCGTCTTCCAGCAACTATCCGATGATGGATCCGAGACACCTCAGGCGCCGTGGGAGGTTGTGCGATGGACAAAGCTGAAGAAGGTCACTGGACAAGTCTTCTCGGAGATTGGCAAGCGCAACTTTGGCCGGCCCACATGCTTACATGTGACCGTCTCGTTGGCGATAGGAACGTCGAAAGGCTTCATCCTTATCTTCGACTACCAGCAGGTCCTCAAGTCCATTATTGGACCGGGTACCAAGGCTGTCGAATGCGGTGCCATCACTTCGCTAGCCATCGCTGCTGATCACTCGGCCATTGCAGGGGGGCATGCGACAGGTCACATCTTCACATGGGAGTTGGCGAAGCCGGCCAAGCCATTCTTGCACATCCCGCCTCTGGAAAGGGCGTCTCTGGAAGACAACAAGTCAGATGGCCATGTCTCGGGCGTAGCCATTCTGCATCTGGGTTTCCTCGGCACCCGGCGCACAGCGCTCGTCTCCGCAGATGACGCAGGCATGGCCTTCTCCCATCTGGCGACACGTGGGCTGGGCGCGATCGCGCGGACGGTCAAGACTACGCGCATCTTAGGGAGATATCCATTGTCGGCAAAGTCACTGGAGAAACCTCGGAAACCAAGTTCGGTGCTGGCCTTCGCACCCCTGCCATTAGGCAACGTTGAGCAGCCAACCGACAATATGGGTCTGACCGCATTGCTAACGCCCTATCTGTTAGTCATTGTCTCGACTACCCCGGTCGCACAAACCCAGCACAAAGCGCCCCGACCCAAGGATGTGGAAGCGCACAGCGCGCTGAGTGGGTGTTTGGC